TAGGGAAAATATGAGGAAAATGCCTTCGCCTAATTCCTATGCTTTCACCAAACCTTTGCTGATTGTACCCTTTAGGTGAAATCTGGGCCCTTTTTTATAGTTGGGTAGGGCATATTACAGAAATTAAATGCTCTGGTTTTTTTTGAACAGTGAAACCAAAAGGGGAGCCTGGTAGATATAGGTATGGGGATCTGGCTCAGGATGATATGTTGTGAAGTACTCTGCTGTGGAGAACTGCATCCAGATCTGAGCACTGCACTTCAGGAAGGATGTGGAGAAGCTCAAGAGGGCCACGTGCACGATCAGAGGCCTTAAGACCAGGTCATACGAGGAGAGCCTGAAAGACTTGGGACTGTTCAGCCTGGAGAAGAGAAGACTCAGGGGGGACTTGATGGCAGCCTATAAGTACATCAGGAGCGTACATCAGGGCCTGGGGAAGCATCTATTCACCAAGGCCCCCAGGGGAGGACAAGAAATAATGGGCACAGACTGATTGAAGATCACTTAAGGCTAGACATAAGGAAAAGCCTCTTTAAAAGCAGAGTGCCAAGGGTTTGCAACAGGCTCCCCGCAGAGGTGGTACAGTCACCCGCCCTGCCAATCTTCAAAAAGCACCTTGATGTCCATCTTGCCGGGGGCGTCTGACCCCAGCAGTCTTTCCTGCCCCAGTGCAGGGGCGCTGGACCCGATGATGTGTAAGGTGCCTTCCAGCCCCTAACAACTATGAAACTCTGAGGAGGAAATAAACACTTTTTGGTATTACATCTGATTTCTCCACTGGCCTCTCTCTCAACACTACTAAGCAAAGATGACATGCATATCAGTGATATCTTTCGTGAGGTTAATACCTATTCATTGTGAACTAGATAGGGACCGTGGCCTTTCAAATTTGACCTTCGCTAAAATGTATATACAGCAGTTGGCAAAAATCTAAATGTTCCAGTAACTGCAAAAGCCATAAATTCAAATGTTGACCTTTTCCACCCAGGTCATGTGTGACACCTACTGGGTTTTGTCAGACTGTGTAGAATTTATAGAGTGCATATAGGTATCAGCTTTGAAAGTTGAACTTCATGAAATATCTTTCACTGGCAGTCATTTCCAAACCCTTTGTAAAAAAAGTGAGTATCTGTCTTCTAGGGCCATGGTATGCATATGTTCTGGGGACATATTTTCAAAGGTTTTAATTAGCCCTCTTTGTAAGCCCTAATCACTTATTAAATTGCAGCTCTTAACTCACTACTTCTAACAAAATATATTTTACAGAAATCAGGCAAGGCATATAATTGTTCTGATTACAGAACTACAATGACTCCTTTCTAGGGCTGTGGGATATTCTGAAGCTCTTCCTCACGTGCTCCTCTATGTCCCACTCCCAAATCAATTGTATTGATGGCCTATTGTCAATCAAGGAAATCGGATTTGATAGCACCCTAAAGCAGTCATGAAATAAGGGAAGGAATACAAAACCTGCTCAGGTCCACACCATCCGAGCGAGATCAATGTTTTCAGTAATACGCTTACCGTCATGTAGCACCCTAACTGTCGCAATTAATAATGTAGAAGAAGCTGATTAACTTAAGTAAAGTGCTCTCTACTGTGTAAACACATAAAGATCTATAGGGCAAAAAAGGAAAGAAAGAACAAAACGTCATTTTTATTTTTTATGTGGACACGTTCTCGCTTTCCATTCTGCTCTTGTAACAATTACTGTACTAGCCACTCTGACAGAGTCAATAAATCGATCTGGGACCTGATGCAGCAGCAAGGCAGACTAATCCAATACCCCATTATCTGCAGTGGAGGTTGGGGGTGGGCATGAGGTGGGCAGGAAATTGGTTAGGACTAATAAAAGCAGTAAGAGATACATAACTATCATCTCACTTTATGATCATATGTTTGATATAAGGGGGCCAGTGTGCGTTTTTGCGTGTGTGCGCGCGCGCACGAACATGCATGCGCCCTGTTTGAAGAAATCTGTATCTA